AGACAGAGAGAGACAGAGAGAGACAGAGAGACAGAAAGCGAGAAATCACCCCCCAGGAGGGATGGTCATGCTGGAATCCCTTCTCCTCCATTCTCCTCTCTGGATCTTGGGCATGCATGCACACGCACCCGGCGTGAATTTTAAGCCACCGGGTCTGGGACTCAAACCGCGGTCGACTACATGGGAGTCCAGTGACATAGTCATTACGCTAACTGAAATGTGTAAACATCCAAACTTAAAAGAGAACTTTGGACTTTGTTTCTAGGCTTGTTTTTGAAAAAAAAAAAACAATGGGAATGCAGCCTGGGTTTGGCAGTCAGACTCCACCACACACTAGCAAAGTGAGTTAGGCAAGTCACTTAACCCTTGGAAGTCATTTAACCTCAAATTTCCACCTGTAAAATGGCAATAATTGTCACTGTGCTTCTGGATGCCTGGGAGAGTCGAACCAGGTAAGAGGTTCTGATATTAGAGGCAGCAGAGTGTGGTTGTTTGCAGCATGGACTCTGCCTCCCATGGTGGCTGTCCCACTTCCACCTCTGCACTAGCCGTGTGACCTTGCACAAGTTGTTGAACCTTTTTGTGTCAGTAAAATAAAGGTAATAATAAGGTGGTTTTGGTCATGGGGGTCATTGTGATGATAAAATACTGGATTGTCAGAAAAATAATCATGACATAGTTTTCTGGTTTTCTATGCAAAAATGTGTCCTGACTTTTCCGACAACCCAATAGTGAATACAAACAGAAACAGTACCTGGCATTCAGCAAATGTGTGCTGTATAAATAAGTGCTATGATTATGACATAGTATGGTTATAATTGCTGTTATCCTTATATTAAGTGGCTGGCACGAAGTAGTTGCTCAAAAAAAAATTAACTTGATTACTACTTCTATTATTTCTCCCCACTGCAACACTTACATTTTAAGGAGCATAAAAGGAAAGTACCATTATTGCAAGTCTGATTTTACTTTAACTAAACAGATGACAATGGAGTCCTTCCCAAAATCTACTTGTTAAGAGACTCAAATTTAATCTTACACTGCAGCATAAAGTTGGTTTTGTTTTGTTTGTTTGTTTGTTTTTCAGTGCTTCTTAGAGCAGAAACAAAGGATTAAGCTTTACCTCAGACCTTCTGAATCAGAAATTCTAGGGATATGCCCTCTTGTTTGTTTCTTTTCTTTTTAAGTTTATTTATTTATTTCTGCCTTGAGGAAGAGAAAGTGAGACAGCACTTGCAAAGGGTTCTGATATCACGATCCTCCCCCTCACCCCATTCAGCTCGGGATCAAAGACACCTGTGCGCTCACCCTGCCCAGAAATGTTTCTGGATGTGAACTTGAAACACTCCCATGGAGTTCAGCCTTGCAGAGTGTCGTGTTTTACCACTGTGCTTTTGGGCACCCCCCCCCCAACCCCTTTGTGTAGTTTAGCATGCAGTTCCGGGGATTCTTAGGCTCCCAGGGCTGGAGAACACCAGGCATAGACTACCCCCTGCTTTAACTGCCTTCTGTTGTTAGGGCAGAGACAACCATGAATCAGGTTCTTCTCTGTTGACAGGTTATTCCAGCCCAGAAGTATAAAACGGTTGTTATGGTGATTCCACAAATTAAGCAGAAATACGTGTTCTAGAAAACAAAGTCAGGGGTGAGATGCGGGAGGGCAAAGCACTCGGAGAGCCGGCAAGGCTGTTGATAGGTCTGGCACAGAACATTTCAGGGTATTGGGTCCTCTGGAAAGTGCTAATGTCACATCTTGTGTCATACCACTCTGAGCAGTAGATGGGAGAAGAAACGCCTTTTGAATTTTTATGTGAAGTTAAAATGAGAAAGAGCTATTTCAGCCTTTGGGAGTCAGATTTACTGGTACAAAAGGTCACTGACTTTAGTTGAGGGCATTGCAGAGCTCAGAGAAGGGAGTATTAAAATAGCAAAGTAATTTTTTTTAAGCCCTATATGTGCTGTGGGCTTCAGCCTTAATCTTGCCATCTTGTTGACCTAGGATCTTAAGTAAAAAGACATGTGGAAAGAAAATAAAAAGAAAGGGGAAAAAATTAGAATATTCTACCTCCGGCAAGATCAAGGATGTATGTAGTTGTCCTGAGACTAAGGGTGACTTAATATTTGCAATGGAATAAGCAAAGTGATTAAATCATGACATTGTGGGAAAGCGGTTGTTACTAGCTGTATGTGGAGATGACTGATCCATACTGATTGAGCGTGACCATTTTAGATGAAGTCAACGCAAGTTTGAGACCTCGCCCTTTGTTGGCAATGGTCTGTTTTGTGTTCAAGCTGGGGTACCTGAAGATTATAGTGCCTTGGAGAAGAAACCAATCTTGGAGGTGGGGTGCAGAAGTTGAAAGCTATTAGTTTAGCTCTTTATTCACTGCATTGGTTATGACAGAACAGCATCTGAATTGGTTGAAAAGAATCAAAGAGTCCCATGGAGAGACACAGTATTGAAGCCATTAAGAGTAAACTGATTACCTAGTCATTAATGAGATCTGAAGATTAAGTATCATACTTTGAGGGACACTGCAATTATAGAAAATAGAATATGAGAAAGCCATAAAGAAATAGCAGGAGAGACCTTCAGAAAAGTTGGAAATGGACCCAGGGGCACGTTCTACCATAGACGTCAAGGTGAAAAATTGTTTTGAAAAAGGTGTTCTTTGGTGTTAAAAGCATGGAGAACTTTTTTTTTTTTTTTGATTTAACTTTATATTTCTTATTTTTTTTGATTTTAGCAGAGAGAGGGAGAGAGAGAGAGAGAGAGAGAGAGAGAAAGTAAGATGGGAACCAGCAGTTAGTGTAATGGCTATGTCGCTGGACTCCTACGTAGTTGACCGCAGTTCAAGTCCCGGACCCGGTGGCTTAAAACTCACGCCGGGCACGTGTGCGTGTGTGCCCAAGATCCCGAGAGGAGAGGAGAATGGAGGAGAAGGGATTGTGGCGTGACCATCCCCCTGGGGGGTGATTTCTCGCTTTCTGTCTCTGTGTCTCTCTTTGTCTGTCTGGCGAGCGCACGCGCCCTATAGCAAAAACCTCTCAAAAAAAAAAAAAAGAGAGAGAGAGAAAGTAAGAAAGAAAGCTGCCACCAGGTCCGGTACTCAAATTGCAGTCGTCCAGCACCCTTAACCACCACACCACCTGCTGGCCCAAGTATGGGGAAATTTAAAAAAATAAAATGTAGGCAGGTGGATACAGGACTTGCATTGCTATGTAAAAATATTAGCAAGTATATTTCTGTAAAAAGGATGATTTAAGTTGATTTATGAGAAAAAAAAAGAGAGAGAGAGAGAGAGACAGGTACCCACAAAAGGTTGTTAAGCCATGATCCACCGTCATGGGCGGCCAGCCCAGGGGAAGGGTACACATGCCTACCTGGTGTGCTTGAAGAGGTCCCAAGATGCAAACCCAGGAGCTTCCCCACGTGGTCCATTTGCATTACCGGTGTAATACCACCTGGCCTCTAAAATGGATGAACTTTATTAGATTCACTTAAGTTAGAGTTTCTCAGCCTTAGCCCTACACATTTGGGGACAGATGATTCTTTTTTTGTTATTGTATTGCTATAATTATTTTAAATTTTGCTACAGGGAATGCACATGCGACAGAGAGAACGTGAGAAGGCAAGCTGCCAGGTCTGGGACTCAACCCGTGATCAGTCATGTGGGAGTCCAGTGTCGTAACTACTATGCCACCTACCGGCCCCAGGATAGGTGATTTTTGGTAGTGGGAGGAGCTTTCCTGTGCTTTAAAGAATGTTTCAAAGCATCCCTGGTTTCTATCCACTAGATGCCGGTGGTAACTTTACCACCACCAGTTGTGGTAACCAAAAATGTTTTTAGGCACTGCCAGATGTCCTTGGTTAAGAACTCTACAGGGCTGGCCCCCCTGTAGCACAACGGTTAAGCATTCTGCATGCAGAGCCAGATCCCTCTTGACCAAGAGCAGTTCAAACCCTAGCCCAGGCATTTTGAAAAACAAACCAGGTATACATGCCCTAAATTCTGACAGGATGGAGAAACAGAGGAAAAAGGATTATGGCATGACCATACTCCACTGAGAGGTGAGCTCGCACTCTCTCTCTCTTTCATGAGTGTATATGCTCTCTGGTAATAAAAATAAATAAAAAATGAAAATAAAGAACCACTGACTTACGCTTTTATTTAGTTCCTTTTGTGTATGTGGTACTGCAAGGCATGAAAAGTGTGACACACTTACACACTTTCTCTATTGAGAAAAATATATTCCAATTCCTAAATCTAGTTATTCTGTTATTTATCCTATTATGTTGGTTAAGACTATACACACACACACACACACACACACACACACACACACATGCATGTATGTACACACATATGTATGTGAAGTTAGTCTCCAAGCTAACATTATGTCAGTTTAATTATGGAATAATATTAGGAAATTAGTAAGTTGGACATGTAGGTGTCCCAGTGTTAAATGTTTTATCTCAGATCAGTGTAGGACACTTTTATTACAGCCCCATGGTAAGACTAGTAATCAATTTCCAAATTAAGCTCTCTGTTCTCTGAAGACTCAAATGACTTTTTGCTCTCTCATTTCTCGTGAAGATAAAATACTCTACTGATCCATAGAAATGTTGAAAATTTTTTAATTAAAAAAAATGTGTACTACTTATCTTTGGGTAGAAATTATAATGATATATATTAAAAGTAGTCTATCAAGTGTCCTAGCTCTTAATATGAGAAATATGAATATTTTGGACTATAATTTGACCTTAGAGACATTCATAGAAAAGATTATCACAAAAAATAATTTTATGAAAAGAAGAGGCCTTAATATTTGGAACAGATTATCCATCAAAAATAACCTGACATCTTCCGAAATTTCAGCTTCCTTGTTGCTTAGGAACAAGAAAGAAAACCTAACCTCAGTCTCCTGCTTTGCTGCTTATGACACTGAACAAGGCCCTGACTGTTGAGATTAATGCTGAGACCCTGTTTTCTTTGCAGACTGCATCATCTGCTATTAAAGGTGCTATTCAACTGGGGATAGGCTACACAGTGGGAAATCTCACGTCCAAGCCAGAACGAGATGTTCTCATGCAAGACTTTTATGTGGTGGAAAGTGTTTTCCTACCCAGGTAAGAACAGTTTGTTTGTGATCATTTCCAGGCTAAAGTATCTTCCTCGTGACATCCCCATACTGAAGGACTTTTCTCCCAGTACATGTGTGCGTGGTGTGTATGTTGGGCCTTTGGTAGGGCCCAAAGTACTCCCAGTGTCTGTTCTGTTACTTGCTGCCATACCGGGATGGCTTGCATTTTTTATAGGTAGATAGAAATGGGTTTCATCTATGGGTGAACCAGTTACAATTAGTTGTGATGATTGGCTGGAAGACCACACAGTGAAGGACTTTAAGATTCAGTTGGAAAGAGCCCAGTAATCACAAGGTACTATCCGCCATGGGTTTGGGAAACAGGGCTTCCATGGAGCAGTGCATGTGCCAAGTTTTGCCCCCCCTAGAGTAAAAGGACAGGCTGGTGGACCCGTAATTGGGCATCACATCTGAGTTCAGTCTTTTTAAAATTTTTATTTGTTTAGTTAGTTAGTTTGCTATAGGGCACCTGTGCTCACCAGAGAGACAGACAGACAGACAGAGAGAGAGGAATCAAGCCACCTGGTCCAGGACTTGAATATGGTTGGCCATGTGGGAATCCAGCACCTTAGCCACCACACCACCTGCTGACCCCCAGTGTTCAGTCATGTAACTCCGATTTTGTGATGACTTTAATGTTCATCCCGAACATGTATGAGAATCCTGCTATGTTGACACTGAGTTTGCAAAAGCACCAAGGTCCCCATGTGTGCTGCCTGTAGTTTGCATCATATTTTGGGGGAACAAAACAAATCTGGAGATGTTGGTGGTGATAGCTGCCTAACGATGTGAATGTACTGAATTCCACAGCCTTGTACACTTACACTGTGAAGATGCTCAGTTTCATGTTATGTATCTTTTGCCACAATAAAATAAATTAATTAAAATTTTAAAAGTCTACTATCACCTTAGTGTAGGAAGAGAAGTAATTACTAAATGTCACTATTTCAAAGAAACGGGCCTAGAGAATAAACTGGTCTCTCAATTTGGACACTAATTTGGAGACTGGTCTAGAGAATAAACTGGCCTCTCAGTTTGGAGGTTAATTGTTTTGTCTTTGGGGCTATGAGGATTGATTTTTTCCAGGCACATTTATACTTAAATATATATATATATATTTTTTTTTGAGAGGTTTTTTGCTATAGGGCACTTGCACTCACCAGAAAGACAGAGAAACAGAGAGACAGAAAGCGAGAAATCACCCCCAAGGAGGATGGCCACGCTGCAATCCCTTCTCCTCCATTCTTATTTGGAACAGATTATCCATCAAAAATAACCTGACATCTTCCGAAATTTCAGCTTCCTTGTTGCTTAGGAACAAGAAAGAAAACCTAACCTCAGTCTCCTGCTTTGCTGCTTATGACACTGAACAAGGCCCTGACTGTTGAGATTAATGCTGAGACCCTGTTTTCTTTGCAGACTGCATCATCTGCTATTAAAGGTGCTATTCAACTGGGGATAGGCTACACAGTGGGAAATCTCACGTCCAAGCCAGAACGAGATGTTCTCATGCAAGACTTTTATGTGGTGGAAAGTGTTTTCCTACCCAGGTAAGAACAGTTTGTTTGTGATCATTTCCAGGCTAAAGTATCTTCCTCGTGACATCCCCATACTGAAGGACTTTTCTCCCAGTACATGTGTGCGTGGTGTGTATGTTGGGCCTTTGGTAGGGCCCAAAGTACTCCCAGTGTCTGTTCTGTTACTTGCTGCCATACCGGGATGGCTTGCATTTTTTATAGGTAGATAGAAATGGGTTTCATCTATGGGTGAACCAGTTACAATTAGTTGTGATGATTGGCTGGAAGACCACACAGTGAAGGACTTTAAGATTCAGTTGGAAAGAGCCCAGTAATCACAAGGTACTATCCGCCATGGGTTTGGGAAACAGGGCTTCCATGGAGCAGTGCATGTGCCAAGTTTTGCCCCCCCTAGAGTAAAAGGACAGGCTGGTGGACCCGTAATTGGGCATCACATCTGAGTTCAGTCTTTTTAAAATTTTTATTTGTTTAGTTAGTTAGTTTGCTATAGGGCACCTGTGCTCACCAGAGAGACAGACAGACAGACAGAGAGAGAGGAATCAAGCCACCTGGTCCAGGACTTGAATATGGTTGGCCATGTGGGAATCCAGCACCTTAGCCACCACACCACCTGCTGACCCCCAGTGTTCAGTCATGTAACTCCGATTTTGTGATGACTTTAATGTTCATCCCGAACATGTATGAGAATCCTGCTATGTTGACACTGAGTTTGCAAAAGCACCAAGGTCCCCATGTGTGCTGCCTGTAGTTTGCATCATATTTTGGGGGAACAAAACAAATCTGGAGATGTTGGTGGTGATAGCTGCCTAACGATGTGAATGTACTGAATTCCACAGCCTTGTACACTTACACTGTGAAGATGTTCAGTTTCATGTTATGTATCTTTTGCCACAATAAAATAAATTAAAATTTTAAAAGTCTACTATCACCTTAGTGTAGGAAGAGAAGTAATTACTAAATGTCACTATTTCAAAGAAATGGGCCTAGAGAATAAACTGGTCTCTCAATTTGGACACTAATTTGGAGACTGGTCTAGAGAATAAACTGGCCTCTCAGTTTGGAGGTTAATTGTTTTGTCTTTGGGGCTATGAGGATTGATTTTTTCCAGGCACATTTATACTTAAATATATATATATATTTTTTTTTTTGAGAGGTTTTTTGCTATAGGGCACTTGCAC